GGTTAAGTTACTTGCCCAGAGTCACACAGCTAGTATTATGTGTCTGAGGCTGGATTTGAACTCAGGACCTCCTGACTCCAGGGTCAGGTGCTCTATCCACTGTGCCACCTTAGCTGCCCCATCAACTGACAGTTTTTTTAAAGTTAGGGAGAGACCTAGGTGTTCATTCCAAATCCATGGAAGGGATTTGATTTTTGGAGACAGCCAAGATCTAGAACCAAGTTTGGAGAAAATGGTGAGTGATAAAAGTTAGGCAATACCATCTGAGTTTGGGTTTTGTTTTGTTTTTTAAAGTGTTACCACTACAAAGTAATTAAATTGATTTTCAAGCATAGTTGATAAACTAGCCATATAGGCAATTTCAAAAGAAGAATTTCAAAAAATATTTTGATCAACAGGTGCATTAATAATATTCAGAAGATATAATATTCAAGTAACATTTGGGAACTATAATATTCAATAATAAGATTCAGGTGTATTAATAATATTAAGGAAAACTTAGGTTCTGGGCTATATCTCTGATCTCTCATCCAGGGAAGTCACGATCCCTGATATAAAATATCAGTCAACTTTAAGATACAATAAAATTATATGCAACTTTAAAAATCAAAATAGAATTTTAAATTTAATTTACATCTGGGGGAAAAAAATTCTTTAACGAAAAATAATCTCCAGAGTCTGGAGACTCATTCTAAGTTGTATCTTCAAGGCAAATATCTATTAATAGGTAAATAGCAACCCCACTACCATCATGCAAAGAATGAATTCAAGATGAAGTTCCCGTACAAAATGCCAAGATGAGCCTTCCTTATGTTGAATTCTATAACATATATTACATCAAAGCCTACAAATAATAGGCATCTAATAAATATCCATTGAACTTTAACAAGGAGGAAAAGCAAGAAGGAACGGATATTCCACAAACAATATTATATTGAGAAAAAAAGGCATCAAAAGCTAACCATATCGAAACTTTGCTAACTAATCAAGGGGCATTTCCCTCAAATACGGAAAGGCTATACTTATATTTAGTAACTATGTAATAATGTGATTACATTCATTAAAAGCAACTAAAATAATGGCACCTTAGATCACTTCCACTCCTAAATCTGTAAATGTATGATCAATAGCATTTCCTAAAAAGCTGAAATTCTTAATTTTTTTCATTTACTTTTAGGGTACAACTATGAAACAAATTCAAGAAAATGTCTAGAGAAAGTCTTTATGATCAATAAGGGTTTAAATGCAATTCAACATTAAATGAAAAAATTTCACCATTGCCTGTGGTCATTTATTCAGTTTATGGATCATATAGATCCCATTTGCTTCTTCCTTTTCCCTCAAGCTGCCAAATTTTAGATAATTTCATGGCTCCTTAGCATCTATGTCAGAGGATAAGCAGAATAAGGATGTTGAAACTTAAAACAATTCTATTATATTTTAGTAGCTTAAACTTTAAAAAACAAAGCCAAAAACATTAGATAAAAATGATGTTTAATTTATCCATTATATTCATCTCCTCTTAGAACAGCTATGAGAAGATAATCCACTACTATGAAGGTAACAAGATGTTTTCCTTTTATACATCAAAAATATGGTATTATGATTATCTTTTACTAGTCTATATTCTACTAGTACCTTAAGCATTTGACTGCTAACAATGATTTGTTAATAAAGGCTAAAATTTTCCCCAAAAGTATTTTAACTGAATTACAAAATATACTGTGTAAAGCTGTCCTATGTTTTAAAATCCAACAGTCTAAAAAGATCAATTTATAGCCTCCTGGCCTGCCTTTTCCACTGGAGAAAATCCACTTAAGAACAGTCCCTTTCTAAACCACTTACTCAAAATTTTTACCAAGAACTGGGAGTCATTTTACATATCCATGACAGTCCTACAACTTGCTAACCTTGTATGCAAAATTAATACTAACAAAAAGTAATAAAACACAAAAAAGTAATTTTGCACCATATCTGATACTTACAGAGAACAGCTATTAGGTCTGCTCTAGAAATATGAGAAGGCAATTTTGCTTATACTTTCTCTAAATTCAAATAAAGATAGGGTGGATAGTTGTTCAGAGTATTCCACATAAATGTATCCTTTGGATTTTAGCTACCCTAGCATTAAAATAAAACAACCTATTACTCTTAAGAGACATTAATGTATCTCATTAGAGGTCATAAATCAATATCATAAGCAAATCATTTTACTACAAAATAAGGTAAAAGAATAAATTTGGTTCACAAATGTTGTTCAGTTGTTTTTCAGTCATGTCTAACTCTTCGTGACCCCATTTTGGGGTTTTCTTGTCAAAGATACTGAAGTGCCATTTCCTTCTCCAACTCATTGTATAGATGAGGAAACTGAGTCAAACAGGGTTAAGTGATTTGCCAGGATCCTATAACTAGTCAGTGTCTGAGGCCACATTTGAACTTGGGAAGATGGTTTCCCGATTCCAGGCCCAGAACCCTATTCACTGAGCCACCAAGCTGTTCACAAAGTTCACAAAGGCTTCCCCAGATGAGAACAGTGAGAACACCAGAGATCTCTAAAGCTCCTGTTTTCACCAGTTCAGACAGTAACAAAAATCATAACAACAATAAAATAAAAGTTTACCAACAAGAAACAACACCAGTTTCTTTTTTAGAATCACAGAAGTAGAGTTAGGAGACCTTAAGAGGTCAAGCATCTAGTCCAACCCCCTTATTTTTCGGGGGAAAAAAAATGCAAAATGATGAGATACAAAGTTCCCTTGCTTAAACCTGCCCTGCCTAGAGAATGGCTATTTGATTCGACTAATATAGGGGAAATTCCTGAATGAGCAAACTCCTTCTAATGATTTAGGTGGGCACCTTTTCTGCAATGTATAGAGTTGCCTAGAACATTGAAACATTACCCAGGAGTCTCACAATAATTAGCAGAGACCTGGATCTAAGTCCTCCTGACTCCAAAAAGGCCAACTCTACATCCACTACATCATGCTAACTCTTGTGACCATGAATTGAAAAAAAAAAAAAATTATTTGGCTTTACACTGTAAAAATGTTTCAAAAACTTCTTTTTTAAGAACCACCATATTTAAATACAATCCATTGGTAACAATTTGTAAAGAACAAAGAAATGCACTTCAATCCAGATCAGTCATGAAACAAAAGTTGAAGAAGTTCCTTATTGTGGATGTCTTAAATAAGGAATGGGCTACCCTTGTTTTATTTCATGACATCCCTCCAAAAAAAATTCATGTGCAATTTTAAAAGTTAATTTAAATTGTTTTGAAATTTGAAGTACTCACACTTAATGGGTAACTGAAGACAACTTAAAAATATTGCTTGGAACCAGGTTTGGAAATTGCCAGTTTACACAAAATAAAAATTGCACATTAAAATTGAATATAGTTTTAGCAAATACAATCCAAAATTTAAAAAAAAAAAGACTTTCCTCTCATGACTGACCTGCCTAAAACCTTGTTATTATAAATACAAAAGGGGAGAGGAGGGAAACAGAGGACCTTTGATGTCTTCAGTGCAGGAACTTCTAGTGTGGAAATTCCCTCTCACCTTTATAAGTGTAATCCCTGGGCAAGTCACTTAAAACCTCTCTAAGGTTCTAAACCCCCATCTATAAAGTCCCCATCTGTAAAGTGAAGCTAGTAGTACCTACCTCTCACACTGTTGTGAGCATAAAAATGACAATATTTGTAAAACATGTACGCTCTATAAATGCTGGCTAGACAGGTAGGCAACATTTCTGTAACAGCCTTAGAGAACTGTCCAGGTCACTGAGGCACTAAGTGACTTGCCCAAGATCCAGAGAGAGAAAGAGAGAGAATCAGAGAAAGAACTAGGACCCAAGTATCCCAAACTCCAAAGCTTTATCTCTATATACAATAAGCTGCCTCTCTACCCCTCTATACAATACCTACAAGAGCTGAAATTAAGATGTAATAAAACCACAGGCATTTAACAGAAATTTGCATTCCATTTTGGCACAAAATAACCGTGTAATCCCTCAGAATGATTCAAATACTAATATTTAATATAAATATTTAAATATTTAATTACAAAACATTTAAAGCTACATTCGAGCATTGACATTACTACATAAGCTAAGAAAAAATAAAGCTAATAGGTATTTACATAGTAACAGAAAAACAGTTATAATTTCTTAACCAAATGTCCAATTTTAAAGTTACAGCAAACGACCAAAAAAAAACTTTAACCCTGCCATTTTACTTAAATTCAAAACAATTTTACAAGGTGATTAGATACTATAACTATTCCCTGACCCCTTTATCTGATTAGTTGTTAAGCCTATTCCCCGACCCCCTTCTAATTTCCTTGGCTCACCAGGGTCACCAAGCTCTTAAGAGATGAAAACAGAAGCACGTGACTCAAGTTTGTCCAACACTTTCTTTTCCAAAGCTGAGCGCAGCTGCACAGAGGGCTGGGGGTGGGGAGGAGGGACTTTTAAGAGAATGATGCCTTGGCAAGTAAAAAGCTCATCAACACCCTCCTTCCCCAAGAAAAGGGGCCAGAAGTGAATTAGCTGCGTCGGGGGGTCGGAGGGGAAGGGTAAGGAGAAAAAACACCCAAAGAATAACCAGGGGAGCCTAGGAGTCAGACGAGGCAAGAGGGCAGGCTGCGGTGCAGCACGTCCCGGGGGTGCCTAACCACGTGCAAGCTGGCATGGACAAAAGAAAGTGGGTGAAGTAACAGCTCGCCCCGCTTATGCTTTCCACCACGTAAAATGGGGTGTAAGGGGGTACAAGGGGTTACCAGGTGCAGACGTGACCTCCAATTTCTAGGGTCAAATGGAAGGGGCGGGGCTGCCCAGGCCTCCCCTAGGCCGGAGGAGAAAGGCGGAAGTATGGGAATGAGCCACTCGGGGTCCAGAAGAAATGGCTAAGGGGTACGGGAGGAGTGACTGGAGGGGCGGGGGGGAGTGGCGAGGGATGCGGGGAGAGGCCTGGGGAAGGAGAAAGAGCTTCGGTTTTTTACCTTTTCCTGCTCCTCCCGGAGCCTCGCCACATGCTCCGAGCGGAGCGGCTGCGTGGAGGAGGCGGCGGCGGCGAGGCTGGGCCGAGGCTGGGCCTCCATGGCCGTGCAGGGGGGGCTGGGGCTCGGGAGGACGCGGTAGGGCTAGGGTGGGGGGAAGGCCACCGAGGGCTTCCAAGGGGCTACTGAGTCCTAAAGCAGTGTTTATGGAGGCGGCGGCTGCTCGTCGGGGTGCGCGTCCTGCCCCGACCTCTGCCGCTTCTCCACCTGCCGCCCCGCACGGCCCCTCGCACCGCGCCCGCCGCCGAGGCCGGGGATAAGGCGGAAGCGGAGGCCGAGTCGGAGGCGGAGAGGGCTCGGGACGGGTTTAGGGCTGCGGCGGCAGCTGCTCCTGTCCGGGGTGGCCGGGTCCGCATCTCACACTCGCATTATCGGCAGCGTCGCCACCGGCTCGGGGAAGTCGAGCGGGAGGCGCGGGGTTGGGACAGGGCCCGAGGGCAGGATTCGCGGAGGCGGGTGGCAGCCTAGGGTCGTCGGCACCCCCTAGAGCTAGGCTCCGCCCCTGGCCCCGCCCCGGTCCGGGGCCCCGCCCCGTCGCCCGCGCTGCAGGCTGGGAAGCGGCGGCGAGGGCCTGCCTCTCTAGGTCAGCCGCTCTCCCGGCCCCCTGGGCTTCTCACTGCGCCTGCGCTGCAGCTTTGCTCGCGCGGGCGTCCCCAATGAGATGCTTTCTGTGGTTCTGCTCCCTGCTCTAGGTGCTTGTCAGATGGCTGGGAGGAGGGGCTCTTTAGCACTGTGCTGGAGTGGAGCAGCGTTAGCTAATGAATACCTCTTGATTTACGTTAGAGGTGGAGTTGGGAAAACAGACTTTAGATCGAGGGTTCATAACTTGACTTCACCAGACTGCCAAAGCGGCCCATGACACAAAAAGGTTTTCAGAGCTAGGAGGAACCATCTGCTACAATACCCTCCTCTGCCCCTTCACCAACACACACGTTTTACAGCTGGGGAAACTGAGACCCAGATAGGGACCATAACTCCCCCAAGATTTAACAGCAAGTTAGTAAAGGTGGGACTCCCCCAAGATTTAACGGCAACTGAAGTAGTAAAGGTGGGACTCCCCCAAGATATAACAGCAACTTAAGTAATAAAGGTGGTACCAGACAAACTACAGATCTTTAAAGTCCCTTCTAGGAATTTTTCTACCTCATAGCAGTATCCACAGGCCTAGAGAAGGGACTTGACTCTTCAGAGTACATGTAATAATAGATATCTACCTCCCTCTCCCGTTCACATTCCCTCCTCTCCATAATCAAAGAATAGTCATTTATTAAGTGTAATAAGTGATAAGCACCATTAAGCACTGATGAGAAAAAGACCTATGGAAAGCAGTAAACCACCCTCAAGGAGCTTACAACCCATCTGGAGGAGATGGCAAGCAGGTAGGTATGTAGCTACATATGAAAAGAGATAAAAGGCATTTGAGAGGGAAAAGACAGTAGCAACTGGGGGAATCAGAAAGATCTTTGCCCAGCCCTAGATAGTAATGTTTGAACTTATCTTTGAAAGAAATGAGATTCCACAAAACAGAGGGGAGGAAGGAGGGTGTGCTAAGCCTGATGATCAACCAGGACAAACGCACAGAGAATAAGGATGGTATGCCCTATTTCTGTGAAGCAAGTTTGGCCAAACCAAATGTGTGTGAATCCCCTGGAGAAGGAAATGGCAAACCACTCCAATATCTTTGCCAGGAAAACCCCAGGGACAGTGAGGTCATGAAGAGTCAAACAGAACTGAACGATGTGTGTGAAAGGGAGTGAAGTGTGATAAGGTTGGAAAAAATAGGTTAGGACTGGCCTGTAAAAGGTTTTAAATGCCAAAAAAAAAAAGAAGTTTAGCACATTTAAGTGCTTACTATGAAAAGGACTGGGAATACAAATCTAGCCTTACACTCTGCTGCTGGTATTTTCGGAGTCTCAGGGATTCTTCCACTCCTTAACTCTGTACCCAAACCAGAGACCCAATACCAGGTCTATTCCTGAGGAGCCCTGGCCTCTAATGAAAGGGATTAGGCTACCGTCCCTCCACCTATATTCATTGGCTAATCAAATACCTGGGACCCTTCTACTTTTGGCCCTAGGTTTCCCTTCTAAAAGGGAAAAAGTAAAAGAGGCATGCAATGCACAAGCTATATACAATGCACAGTTATAGAACAGGTAATTTATTCCTACACAGAATGAAATGATACCCTAAAAGAAACAGAATGTTCATTTCAGAATGAATTCAAAATTTAATAAATTTCAGAATAAATTCAGAATTTAAATAGAATTCAACAATTTAATATAACTACTAGTACAATCAACTGGGAGGATAATGTTCAAGCCTCGGTTGGGACATAAACAATTTCTTAAGGCAGTTATTGAGTGCAAATTACATTTACACTTTCATTGGTACTATTCAATCCAACAACCAAGCTTGGCTTTCTTTTGGGTAGCCTCTCTCTCCAGTGTTTCTTCTGCCATCAGCCACTGCCACCCCAGGAAAACTGCAGCCACCAGTATTTAAAGACCTTTCAGGACCTTCTGATCTTTTAGGATTCTTAAGGCCAACACCTTCATACATCCAACTTAATGTTGTTGCTCTATCACCTATTTAGGGAAGGAAACACAAAACAGAAGAAAAGACAGTCAAAACACTCAGCATAAGCCCAGCTATTTGAGTTAATTCACACTCTACATGAGGGGTGACCCCTACCAACATTCTGTTGAGGTGGAGAAGGACCACCATATCTTGTCAGCTGAAGGACTACATCCAAAATAGGATAAGCTAGGGACTGTTCCTTCTTTTAACAGGAGTAGCACCCCTGTGTTATCAGTTCTTCTGCTCAGCAGTCAATTAGGGGGCTGTCAGCAATATCATACATGACCAGAAGTTGGCTCCCCCAGAGCATCTCCCATAGTCCACCTTAACAGGATTTGCTATACAAAAAACAAAAACAGTCCTTGACTACAATGAGCTTACATCCTAATGGAGAAAACAACTTAAATATAGATAGATACATACAAGGAATATGCAGAGTAAATTGAAGGCAATCTTAGAGGGGAAAGCACTAGTAGCTGGGGAAACTAGGAAAGATCTATGAAAGGCAGGATTTGAACTGAGTCTTAAAAGAAGCCTTGTGGCAGGGAGACCAATTACTGCAGAAGGCTATTTAAATAATTTAAGCAAAAGATGGTAAGGGCCTGAACTAAGGTGGTAGCTATGTGAATGTACAGATAAGGACATATATATGAGACATGTTATGGATTGGATGTGTGGTGTGAAGTGAGAGTAAGGAGTCAAAGTGACACTGAGGTTGTGGATCTAGGTGACTGAAAGGACTGAGCCCTAGACAGAAATGGGGAAGTTTTGAAGAGGGTAAGATAATTTAGTTTGGAACATGATCCAATTTATATTTGATCCTGGAGGCAGTAGAAAAAATATTAAGTGATGACTATATGTAAGATGGTAAATGAATTCATAAATTCTCCAGCTCTTAGAATCACTCCTGGTTTCTTCCTCTAAGAAATCCCCCAAAACACTCCTTTGGTAAAATCAGATTCACTTGAGTAATGAGGTTAGGCAGCCAGATTACTGAGGGTTGAGAAGAACGTGAGAGGAAAGACAGTAGAAGCGATAAATTCGGAGAGCTCTTTCTAGGAATTTAGCTGAGGGAGGAGAAAAGATATAGGAAAATAGCTTGTGGGATGATAGAGTCTAGTGAGGATTTATTTTATAAGAAGGGGAAAACTTGGGAATTTTTGTAGAAAGTAGGAAAGGAACCAACAGATAGGGAGATATTGAGGAGTAGAGAGAGAGGGAATGATTGTGGAGACAATGTGGAGATAGTGGAAAAAAAATTGAATCAATGGTACATATAAAGGGGTTGGCTTTAGGGAGGAAAAGGGCAACCTCTTTATCAGAGACTGGAAGTAAAAAGGAGAGAATGGGTTTTGATGACAAGGAGTTGAGTAATGAAGGGGAAAATTTATCGATCAAAAGGTTTTTATTAAGTATTTACTATATGCTAAGCACTAGAAATACAAATGGAAAAGGAAGACAACCCTGCTCTCAAGGAACTCAAATTTTCCAATTGAGGGAGATTGCACAAATCGGGGGGGAGCTATAGGTCAGATGTCAAGGCCCAGGGGTCCTAAGATGAATTGACAGGTGAGTTGACAATGCTTGGGTTCTGGAATACATAATGGTAGGGCAAACAGTAAGAAGGAGAAAAGAGAGGCCTCTGTTTTCTTAGCAAAATATGAGGCAAGATCCTCCACTGGGAGAGGGGTGGGAGTGGACAGTATAGGAGCTTTGCTGAGAAAAGAGGTGTGAAACAGTCACTATGGAAAGTGGAATTGATACTCAAATGGGGAGGAATAGGATCTTCTTGCTGCAATGAGGACCCAATTAAGAGTATATGACATTAAATTTGCAATGGATCCAATAAGTATAGTTCTTTTACTGGATGACAAATAATCGGAGTGATCAAAGACTGGGGTTTGACAAGGTGTGAACAATGATAACACAAGGGAGTAAGCAATTTGAAAGCAGAGGATAGTATAGAGGTTAATTGCTTGACTGAAAGGTTGAGACTGGGGAAAGAGTAAAGTTAAGCCATTGCTGGGAGATTGTCTGAGGGGTAAAGGGGTTGATTGTCATAGTGTGGACAAAGAGTAGGCTTTGTAGGAAAATGGCCTAGGGAGAGATGGAATGATTGGGTGTTAAGATTGGATAAAAGAGTTTTAGAGTTCTTGATCAGCATAGTGGAAAACTTGTGGGTGATGTCGGTATTGAGGATATGACCATTCTTGAGTGTAGCTGAGATAAAATAGAGAAGGTCATGAGAGTTGAGTAAATTAAGGAAATGGGTGATAAAGATGTGAAACTCATCATTCTAAAAAGAAAAATTCCTCTTCTGAACTTCCCTATTCTGTAAAGGGTACCACAATATCTAGTGTTATACTTGACTTTTCACTTACCACACATATCTAATAATTTGCCAAATCTTGTCACTTCTGCCTACAATTTAATTGATAGACCTAACAACAAGTATTTATTAAATGTCTACCATGTGCCAAGCACTGTGGTAGGTGCTGGAGATAAAATAAAAAATACTCATCTTTCTTTCGTAAACCCTTCTGTCTTTCTAACTTCCCTATTCCCTTTCCCATCATCCTTTGCATGTGCCCTCTTCTCTTCTCTGACACTACTACACCCTGTTGAAGGCCCTCATTA